GATATGTCTAGCTGGTGGCAGCAGCAGCAATGATGACTTTCTATGAAGCCACAATTAGCTATAGGGAGGATTTGGATTTTCCTGATTTAGTGTAATAAGGTTTACTTGTTAAACACAAAAATTCTCTCTTCCTATCGAAAAATTAAAAAAAAATGGTGGTCAATTAGTAATTTTTTTGTTTAGTAAGGGTCCACATTTTTTTTAAAAATCCCGTGATTAGCACGGAATTCTTGTACGTTTAATATAATAATGCAATAGTAATAGAAGATGCAATAGAAGGAAGGATTTGAATAATTCGTGTAAGGATTGTGTCACATAATGCAAATTTGGAATTGATATCAGACTTTCCATTTATTATCGATCAACTTAAATTTTTTAAAATATCATACAGATATAAATATGTTTCCAAAATCTTATCCTGAATCATCATCTGGCAAACCACTTATGACCTTAGACAGGGAAGGTCCTTTGTTCATTTTAACAATGAAAAATGGTGAAAATCGAATCACCACCACTTTTGTCCAGGCTTTTTTTTCTGCATTGGATGATATTGAAAGAATTCGTGAGCAGGAAGATAAACAGCCAGCTGCACTTATCACCACTGGCGAGGAAAAATTTTATAGTAATGGATTGGATTTAGAGCATGCGTTAAGTACTCCTGGTTTTTTTGACAATTATTATTTGAAGTTGTTGACTAGAATGTTGACTTTTACTATACCTACGGTTGCGGCGATTAATGGCCATGCTTTTGCTGGTGGTTGTATGTTAGCTTTAGCACATGGTAAGTTATTTATTTATATTAATATTTTGGTTTTTTTCTTAATATTATACTCACTTTTCTCTCCCTTTTCCCTCATTTGCAAAAAGATTACCGTGTTATGAGAAATGATCGAGGATATATGTGCATGGTAGGTAATTTATAAAAATCATGCCTTTATTTTTATGTTAATAAAAATTTTATTTACTAATTAATTGAATATATATTAATTAATTATAGAATGAAGTTGATATTCCTTCACCTTTACATTTAGGCATGGCTGCGATTGTTAGAATTAAAATGACACCAAAAACCTATAGAGACTGTATATTACAAGCTCATAAATTCAGTGCACAAGAATGTTTAGATCAACAATTAGTTGATTTGATTGCACCACAAAAAGAAGTTTTACCTAAAGCAAAAGAATTAGCTTTGAAATGGTCTCCCAAAGCTCGTGCTGGTGCTATCTATGGTTCAATAAAAGAAACAATGTATGTGGAAGCTATTAATCATTTAAGTTTAAAATATAAATTATAGGAAAAAAACCTCAGTTTCATATAAATGATGTTTATTTCATTTTTTCATAAAATATTTATTTTGATCTATACAATAAAATAGATTTTGTTTTTTGATCTAAAAAAAAAAAAAATTTTTTCTTACAGTAATTATAATAGACAATAATACAAACATAGAAGATTAGATCCAAATATACTCAGAAAACCATTAGACATTATATCTAATTTGCTTCTACATCCAAAATTAACCTTAAAAATTGCTGAATTGTTCAGACCAATTCTAGTTGATATTGTTAATTATAATAACACTAAAAGCAACCAATTATTCTCAAATAAAGTTTACTTTTTGAGAATTTAAAAGGCTTGCTCTTGCTTTTACTCAATTATTACCAATAACTCCTCAACTGTTAAGGTAAGAAGCACATGTATTTATGTATTTGTATATAGAAAGAATTAGTTTAATTTAAAAATATATTAAAAATTATATACTTATTGGTAATTGTAATTTCTTTTTTCTATGCCACATTCCTTACTAGAAGGGTTGAAATTATTTACACGAGGAGGTAAAGTTTACAATTAACATTTTCTGAACTGATCTAATGTTTAAATTAGATTGTAAAAAGACAATTATGATTGGTGACAATATATAGACATAAAGAAAAAAATAAGCAAGATGCATAAAGAAATACAAAAATTTTAAAATTCAAATAATACATCATACAGAGTTATTGAAAATTCTTACTGCATCATCACCAATAACATCACCAATGGATGCATCTGTTTTCCCCATTGATCTCATTCACTTCAAGTTTTGCTCAATCTATGATCTGATGAAATGGTGGTGTCAAATGGATGAACTACTTTTAAGATCAAAAAATATTTTTTTGGTCACTCAACCAATCTCAAGTATGCATTATGATATTAATGAATAACATTAGAATGTTTAGCCATGATTTCTGATTATTATTAGCAATCTTTCCAAAGGTTTGACTTTGCAAGAAACGCAAAAAGGACTTAATATTTATATTGAATTTTCTGGCGTTGTGCTGCGATTTGGTAGAATACATTAATTACTATTTACACATAACCCACTCAAAAAATCTTTAAACTTATTTTGAATGATATTGTTTATTAGCTTGTTCATGTTTAAATATCAACTTATTTAATATTAACCATTGGAGGTGCAAAATCATCCATACGAATTACTTTGTTTCAAGAAGTTTGATGATTTGCGTCAAATTAATAGGATAGAGAATGAGTTAATTAATTCCCAAGAACTTTGATACAAGTATGAAAATCTCACATACGATCTTGCTAATAGACTAAGATTATCTGATTAAAAACAATTTTGAATTAATGCCATCTTTATATATAACTCTTTAGGTAAAGCTTTTTTGGCTTAGAAACTACACCCACTCTGCATGGTAATGTTTTGAACTATTTTCCTTTGAAGCTGCGAAACACTTCATTTTCACGCGTTTCTATTGAAAGGCCCTCAAAATGAAAAGTTTTATTCCTTATATTGCAAGTGATTACTAACAAAGTCAATGAATGGGACCTATCCTATTCTGAAACCTTGGCATCTATATCCAAAGCATTTTCTCAACTTGAGGTTTGGAATATATCGATTGTTAACAAGACTTGTATTAAATCATTAATGGAATTAACAATAACCTTTTAGAAAATGCGAGAAATAATTATTATTACGGAAATGGTTCACAAATTAAAGAATTATGGCAAATTCAAATTATAATCATTAAAGTGTTAAAGCTCTGGTTAGAAAAACTGTGGGATTACAAATAATGGTTGATTTATTATTATCAATAATAAATTGGAAAATGATTCGTGAATCAAGTTAAATACAAATTAATTGACAATATAAATGGAATGATATTAATTATTAACTCTTTACCGGAAACATTAGCAGACGTATTGAGTCAATATTTTAAATATAGTTGACCGAAATAGAAGTTAATCTTTATTTATTGCTTTGTTATGTGATAGCAAAAGAATTATTTTTATTTTTCCCTTCAATAATAATCTGAATTACTAATGACAATTACAAAATTGAAGTCTTGTGTAGTTGATCATCCAAGTTATGTGGCCATGATTCAAACAACCCACTTTTCTTTTCATACATTATTTTTAATTTATATCAAAAATTAAATTTACCATAATAAATAATTATAAAAACCGTAATTTTGAAACAAAAAAAAAATTCAGTACCAAAACTATTTAGAAAAAGTAAATCTTTGATTAATAAAAAATATATATATAAGCAAACATATAATAAATAAATTAAAATGATAATAATAAATGATAAGTTTCCTTCATAAAATTTTCAAAAAACGATCACCAATTAACTAAACTAAACAACCAATCAATCTATAATTTTCATTCATTAATATTAAGTAAATATTCAATAGCTGCATTTACATTTCCACCAGAAGCTAATAATGCACGAATATTTTTCTGTGCATCCCAAAATCCCATATCATTTAATTGTTGCAATTGAACTTGAAATCTTTCTTCAGGTGGAACAGTGGATGCGGTTGTTGGTGGAACACCTAGACCTCCTAATCCAAATAGCAATGATGGGTCAATTTGGAAAAATGGTTGTTGTTGTTGCTGATTAGTGTTTGGGTTTCCAGTAGGATTCATTGTAGCAGCAGGATTAAGAAGACTAAGAAATGGATTAATTGGTGGTGGAATGGTGGTGGAAGGTGTAGTGGTTGTTGGTGTGGTAGTGTTATTATCATTATTGGTTGAAGGCGTAGTAGTGGTATTGGTGGTGGTGGTGGTGGTAGTGGTATTGGTGGTATTGGTGGTGGTAGTGGTAGGTATTGTAGGGTTTGTAGGAAACATACCCATGCCATAACCTCCAGGATTCATTGATGGGTTTAAAGTTGCCATATAACGAATTGTGTCTGGGTTTGATAATAAAGCTTGGAATCCGGGATCTTGTGTCAATTGTCTAAGTCGGGGCGCCATTTCACCAAATTGTGGGTTCATTGCAATTATATTATCTATAAACTGAGGATCCTGCATCATTTGTGAAGCATACTGCATCAAAGCAGGATTATTAAGAACTTGTTCCATCATCATATTCATATTTGGTCCATTATTATTACCACCTAAATTTGGGACACCATATGGATTATTAATACCAAAATTTCCTCCACCTCCACCAAATCCACCCAGTGCTGCAAATGGATTAAGAGGTGCATTTTGTGGTTGTGTTGATTGGTTATTAGTAGTATTTGTTGTTGAAGGAGTATTTGCTTCAGATTGTGTTGTTGATTGAGATGTTTGCGATTGAGACGAAGCTAACAATTTTTTGAAATATAATTTAGTAATGTTCACATTAAATAATTTTATTGTAATATTCTGTTTGCTGTAAAGTAGAAAATAGCACATAATATATATTACTCATTCAACATACCACGAGCTCCTAAACTTTTCACCATGTGAACTGTGTGTCCTTCAGCAATCTTGTAAGTTTCAAGAGTATCATTATCTTTTAACACTTTACCAGAATATATTAATCTTTGCCTATCAGCCGGAATTTCACTTTTTTCTCCAATAAGTTGTTTAAATTCTAAAACAGTTTTTGATTTATCTATAGTTATTGTATATTTTGTATCGTTAGAGCATTTAACCGTTATTGTTATTTCTGATTTCATTCTTTTTTTATTTTTACTTTAGTTATTATAATATACACTAAATTTTTAGCCTAATCCCATAGGAACTCGGTTACATTATCTCACCTTTTTAGGATAGTAATAGGGTGGTCAATAACGAGTTAGTGTAACAGAGGTAGAGATTACATCATGATAATATTTTTCCATTTAAGGGTTAATTTTTCTAGTATATAGCCCTATAATACTAGTAAACAACAATCACACCATCTGAAATAGAAAATTTCCATTAGATCTGTCTGATATACCATGTATTAGTAGTATATAGGTTCACTTTGTCTGGTTTTGTTGGAGCATGCCCCATATTATGATTGTTCCTGTATTTTGATGGTTAATAACTGTACTTTCTTGACTCAAATCTTTGCCAATATTTCTTCATGCTGAAGCTCTGAATGCACCAGTAAAATGTGAACTGAATTGAATCATCTAAAGTCATCAACATCAAAACCAAACTGTTTAATTGATTATATGAGCTTTTGGCAATCAAGTGACAATAAAGAGAAAAAGACAATACAATAAAGACAGATAAACTCAAGGAACAGGGGATGGAATATGCAAATAAAATCAATTTTACCTGAATGTTATACCAAAAAATTTGGAAAAATAAAAATTGGATAAAATTTTCTTAAACAATAACATTGGATTAATTTGCAATATCAACCATTATTGAGCACTAAATATCAATTTATTGAAATAAATAATATGATTATACTGAATTTATTATTACCATATCCCAATGCTTTGACATTATGATAAGCAGCAGTAGTGTAGCACTAGATGGTTCCAGTTGAAAATTGGATTAATACAAATACAATCAGTCTTACCCATCTGAAGAGAATGTAATTTACTTTTCACCCTTTGTAAAACTTGACTTGAATTACCCGAAAACCACAACTTGTACATTAAATAAAGGTTGGTCTGCGGGTAAAAAATAGCTTGCATACATGTGTTTCAAACTTGGGCAAAAGATTTTGTTTGAAACTGTCATGATTTGTTGTTTTTATGCTTTGAATTGAATAGAGTTTTTAAATTTGATTCATTCAGAACCTTACTCATCAACCAGCAATTCATATAATCACAAAAAAATTTGTCAACTTCAGGTTACATGCTAATTCCATCTGATATAAAGCACAATACAACACTGCTTGCCAAGTAATCTTTGCCATGTCTTGAACAGCTATTACGTATCAGATTTGGGAAGAGCCAATCTAATTAATTTATATCTTCATTATTATGGTATAATGTTGTGAATTTAAAGTAAAGACAAATGCTCCTTTCGTGGTACCCCACTTCATAAGATTACGTATTAATATCATTTCCGTCACACGGACAAAAAATCCATATTTTTTATTTTTTTTTCACAAAATAAAAAATGTTTCTTACAAGATCGGAATATGATCGTGGTGTAAATACATTTTCGCCTGAAGGACGTTTATTTCAAGTAGAATATGCAATTGAAGCTATTAAAGTACATAAATATATTTAATTATTTAAATATATAAATATTTCAATCGATATAATAATAATTATTATTAAATGTTTATTACTTGTATATCTAAAGTTGGGATCAACAGCCGTAGGTATCCAAACATCTCAAGGAGTAGTATTAGCAGTTGAAAAACGAGTTACTTCGCCATTATTGGTATCAAGTAGTATTGAGAAAATCATGGAAATTGATAGACATTTGGGTTGTGCCATGAGTGGCTTAACAGCTGATTCTAGAACAATGATTGATCATGCTAGAGTCGCTGCTCAAGTAAATATAAAATAGTATCAACATATATATACACACACATATATATATATATATATTAATTCTAGACATTAACAACTACTATTTAACAATAATAATAATTGTTTATTAGAGTCATACTTTTACTTATGCTGAAAAGATCAAAGTGGAATCGGTCACTCAGGCAGTATGCGATTTAGCACTGAGATTTGGTGAAAGTGCTCACGGAGAAGATTCAATAATGGTAGGGAGGATTATGAAAAAGATTAGTTAGATAATGATGTTATTAATTGAAAAAGTCATAAATAATAATATAATTAATGATCTAATTAATATAATTAATCAATTCCAATTTTATTTAAATTAGAGTCGACCATTTGGTGTTGCATTATTAATTGCAGGAATTGATGAGAAAGGTCCTCAATTGTGAGTACTGGCTGTTTACGATAATATCAACAACGATAATAATAGTAGTGTAGTAATTAATTAAAAAGAAAGAGTTGTGTGGAAACTTTGAACTAACTATTTTTTTAATTCATTATATGGGAAAAAAGATATCATGCAGATCCTTCTGGAACTTTTATGCAATATGATGCTAAAGCAATTGGATCTGGATCAGAAGGTGCACAAACTGAATTACAAGAAGAATATCACAAGGTTAATTTTTTAATTTTCTTTGAGGGAAATAATAATAATAATAATAATAATAATAATAATAACATTAATTGACTGATGATAATAATTAGTCGTTGACATTGGAAGAAGCTGAAACATTATCACTTAAAGTGTTGAAACAAGTGATGGAGGAAAAATTAAATAATACAAATGTAGAACTTGCATCTGTAACACCAGAACATGGGTTTAGGATTTATAGTGAAGCAGAATTACAAATAGTAATTGAGAGATTATAGGTAATAAATAGTATTATTGAGAAGAAAAAGTGAAGAATGAAAAAAGTAAAAATTATTTATTTAATAAAGTAAATAAATTAAAAATTGTTAAAGGAGTTTACTATATATTGTTTTTGAACGATATCTCAAAATATTGGATATGGTTTCTAAGCCAAAATATTCTACATAAAGAGTTAGAAAATTGCTTTTTTCATGTTATGGCCCTTTTCTATTGTCCAAGCACTTTTCATGGACATTTTAATGGTTCATTTTTCTATATTAACATCCCATTCAACGAATTTTAAATATAACTCATTGAAACAAGATTTTCATTGGATTAATTTATTTATATGCATTAGATCGTGTATATTGATCCGGATCAAATCAAAGCGAATCATTTATATCTTAGATATATTAGATGGTATATATTGATTCGTTCGAAGCCTCACGAACCTATATAGTCTGTTCCACGACTTCTGCGACCATTCTGCAACTTTCTTGTTCCAGTACGTTACGCAAGCTGGGTCTCTTGAAGCTGATACCAATCCCTGAGACAAGCTCACATTTTGTGAGAAGGAGTTGTTGCTGCTGTTAGGGGTCCGCTTTGCATTTTTTGGTTCATTCAATGGGCACTTTCTAAATGTTGCATACACGGATGTGAGAAGCGGATCCACACTTATATTCTCTCTTCTAGATTATCAGAGTTCTTTATTATTAATTATTACATGTCCTTGAGAGTTTGTATGATTACGTCGATTATATTGAAGGCGTGAGGTGTTTACGTGATTGTAACAAAGGAAATTAAGTTACAATTGACAGGCGATGAAAACTTGCTCTTCACACAAGATACACTTTGATGGCCTTCCTTAGGCTCCATTTGAAAAATAATTCTCTGATTCTGATTCTGATTCTGATTCTTATGGTGATTATTATTATTATGATTATTATTATTATTATATGACGTTACGATGGTGATGATGGTATATCGTTTATTAAATCTAAAGAGATATTATAATCACCTACAAGTGATATAATGGCTTCCTAATAGTAGTAGCAAATAATTTCCATTCTAAATAAGCAATTACGATGTTAATATGATGCCTTCTGTGATTGCATCTTGAACAGATCCAGCTTGCACAAATTCATCTGCATTTATTACACTGCGATGATGTTTTGGCTCTTTACGAGCCCCCTCCACAAGAGCAAGGGCAATTTCTCTGGATGTTGATGAAACAATACACATCAAATGAAGATGGCGGTACCATGGTTTTACATAGAAGTCAAGCAGATAATGGGGTAATTGAGTTCATCAAAAAGATGATTTTGGTAAAACGGCATGTGACGACAGGAGTGATAATGTATTATTATTCTTATCAGCTGTTAATAGAAAATTCATCTTTAATTAATGTCATATTGATTTTCTATTTGATCGAAGGCAATTTGGGTTTAAAAAATTTGATCATTCCTCAAATGGATACACTTTTAATGTTAAACATTAAAATTCGAACCTTTTATTAAGAAAAAAAAATCAAAAAATATCATAAGAATTTACTTGGTAAATAATTAAAGAATATGATAAAGAAAGAAATTCGCAAAAAAAATTTCCCCAAGGAAAAACTAGAATCTCGAATAATCAATAAATGAATCATATTGAGTTTTACCATTATCACCATCTACTTCATAATTGTTGTAATTATTAGTGTTAGCATTATTGATTTGGTTATTATTATTGTCCGTGTTATTATTATTATTATTATTATTTATGTCACGATCAGTTTTATCTTGATTATTATTACCACCACTTTCATCATCATGGTTAGTATTATCAATACTCTCATTATTATGAGTGCTATTGTCATTGCTGTTGAAAGCCTTTTGTTTAGAAGGATTTGTATTAACGTGAGTTGGAAGTGGTAATAGAGGAAGTAGTGGAGGATTAATCGCAGTGTTAGGGATAGGAAGATTGTTCGAAGATGAAGAATATTGTTGACATAAATTATTTCGTCCATTAAATAAAGAAGAAAATTGATTATTATTATTATGATTATATATATTTGAAATAGTTTGTAAAGAACAAGAAGGAAATAGAGAGTTTTTGACAGTATCATCATCGCTGTTAGCAGAGTTATCTTTAGAGATAGCAGAGGAATTTGTCGAATAATTTTGATTATTATTATTATTTTGTTGTAAAATGTTGTGAAAAGGAAATTGATGTCGTGATAATAACTGGCTTGATATATTATTTAATGTGGTAGGATGATAAATTGTTGTAGTTGTAGTTGTAGTTGGAATATTGCGATGATGATGAAGATGATTCTGGTGGGAATGAGTGTTAGGATTATTAATTAATTGTTGAAAATGATTTGACACCCATGCATTGTAGAGTAAAGGCGCCAGTGTAGAAAGCTTTACATTATTGTTGATTGTCATGTGGTTTACGACATTTACTCCTCCAACATTACCAGTATTGTTTAAGCTTGAAGTTGTGGAAACCAAAGATTCGCTATTTCTATTGCTATTGCTATTGTTACTACTAATATTATTGGCGGAAATAGTGGAAATGAATTCATTTTTATTGTTACAATCAAAATTTCTATCACCAAATTCATTTTCATGATTATTGTGATTCCATAAATATGGCGTAATTGTATGATTATTATTATTGCTACTGTTGCTGATTATATGACTCTGAAGGTGATGATGTGGATGATAAAAAATGGACTCATTGTTATTAGGTTGATTTACATTACCATTATTATTGTCACTATCATTATCATTATCATTTACATTACTATTAACATTAGAGTTAATATTACTATTAATATTTATATTACTGTTGTTAATATTATTGTTGTTATTGCTGTTATCAATAGCATCACTATTATCACTAATGGTAGCGTTAATGTTGATAAAATTACGTCGTTTTTTGCTAATAACTTTTTTACGAGCAGGGTTTCTAATAATTTTAGGCATTTTTTCACTTTTAATAATATCTTCGCTTGGTTGAATATAACGTAACTCTTCGAATGCTTTTGGTGGCAATAATGATTCTTCGCGACCTAAATAAATGTGTGTGTGTGTAAATAAGTAGTATAGATAAATATTTGCAAAATTTTATTTAGCAAGAAAAATGAAAAAAATAACCTCGATTATCTTCATAAATAATCATATGCTGATAAGATCCATTGAATTTTATCGAAATAGTTTTTTTTAGTAGACCGTTATTTCTTAGTATAAAAGTTCCTTTGCTACATTGATGAACTTTTAGACCTTCGGCTTCGATACGAGCTTGTAAAACTTCATCGATTGGTTCGTGTCTTTTAATATTCCTATCACGTGTTGATAATTCTCGATACACCAAGAAATCTTTTATAATACGACTTGGTGACCATAATCTAAATTTACAAATTGACGGACGAATTAACTAAATTATAATCATTTCCAAAAAAAATAGTAATAATTTACCTTCCATCTGTCCATCTTTTAATCCCGGATTCTTTCTCGTCAAAAACATAACTATACGCGAATTTCAAATTAACATCATTTTCATTATTAACATTGACAACATTATTTATTACATGCGATACTTACACTTTCCCACCACATAACTCTTCTTTTTCTTTTTCTAATAAACGACGAGCAGTTCTTTGAATAACTCCTTGATGACATGCTTCTATTAATATTTACATAATTATTAGAGAATATTATATCATAAGCATCAAAAAGATTTATTATCTCAGTAACAAAGACAATATTACCAAAGATTATTAACGCATCGTTAATAGTTTTGATTCTTCCTAATGTTAATAATAAAAATCATCATCATTATATATAAATAGAATAGAATAATAAGGTTTATAATTGTATATAATTTTTTAAAGTTTTCTTACCGTTAAAAGTTTCCATTTTTTCTAACTATTTTTTACTATTTTAGTTTAATAATAAACTTTTTCTCAAAATTTAAAAACTAGAAAAAAATTTAATTTTCTTATAGTCTGTTTTTTTTTCCTCGGCTCTTTTTAAATTAAATTTTGTCATATTAAAATAATAAGATCAGATATTAATTTGAAAATTTAATCTCAAATATTATTATCGCAAAAAAAAGAAATATATTGCGTAAATACAAATACAAATAATCATCATAATTGATGTAGTATTTTTAAATATGATATTTTACTATGAGGTAAAGCTTTATTAATCGTGAGTTATCTCTGGTAATAATAATTATGATTGTAGCAAAGACATTTTTCGTTATCTTGTCATCATTTTTATAATTTATTTGACTAGCGAAAATAAAATATCATTATTTTTCATTAAATCAAACTTTTGATATGTGTTGCTATCTATATATCTATCTATCTATCTATCCAATATAATACGGTAATGTAATTTTTATCATGATGTAATGTGTGTAAAATTCATAACCTCCCACTACACAATAACTTATAATTGCATAATTTATAATAGTAAATTAATCAAATTCACATCAAGAGAATTAATTATTGATAAAAATAAAATGATTAATTATCACCTAGATTTAATCGCGTATTCACGTGATTTTAGCAAATTATCAGAAAGATTAAATTTTGAACCGAAAATTTTACTAACGAATACTAACGGATGCTCATTTTAATTTATCATTTTTAATAATGCAGATTTCGTAGATAATCGATCATAGATTCTGAATCCAAACATCTTGAACATATTCATTGTTTCGTCAGCCCGAAAGTCGGGTCAAAGCACGGGTCCCGATTTGATGCAGACATAATGACCAGGTAATTTGGTCATAAATTTTATGACCCGATGACATGAACTTGGGTTACTTTGACCATAATTGAAATTTTATCTTCTTGCGCATCTTTTTTATATATCTGCCTTCAATATAATTATAATTACCATTTATTATTTTATCAATTTCCGATTTGAATGTTTTTTAATCAATATTAATATTACCATTTTAGGCGATTTACGTTTAGCAAAAATCAAAAAATAATAAATTCAACATGGTAAAGTTGAAGGTGCCAATTTCAATAAATTTAATTTGTTAATTACTATTTAATTTGGATAATAGTCACCTTGTAGTTCCTGATAAAAATCAGCTTCAACGCATTCTTCGTTTATTAAATAGCAACGTTGAGTAGGCATTAATGATATTATTACTATCACCATCAGAATAGATGTGTTTTTTAATTGTCTGTCAATAATACATTTTTTTTTTAGTGGTAAGACAAAGGTAATGTTTGCCTTAGCTGCTATCAAGGGTGTTGGTCGTCGTTATTCTAATTTGGTTTGTAAAAAAGCTGATGTTGATCTAAATAAAAGGTTTTTATTGTCTTGATGACTTAATTAAAAAATTTTTAATCATATTGATTAATTTAAAATTAAAATATTCTTCAGAGCTGGTGAGTCAACCAATGAAGAATTAGAACGTATTGTGACCATTATTCAAAATCCTACACAATACAAAATTCCTGATTGGTTTCTCAACAGACAAAAAGATATATTTGATGGAAAAAATCACAATTGTTGCTAATGGATTTGAAAGTAAACTTCGTGAGGATTTAGAATGATTAAAAAAGATTCGTGCTCACCGTGGTTTAAGGCATTGTTGAGGTTTACGTGCAAATTATTTTTGTTTTTTTTTGTTTATGGTAATTTTGGAATAATACTTGCATGTAGAGAGTTTATATACATCTGATAAAATATTTTGTATTCAAAACTTTTACGTAATAATAATATAATACATTACACTCATCTATTTTTTCTTAATCTAATTTAATAGGTTGAGTATTTATTACTATCAGGTACATTGAGAAAATCAAATTAATAATTCGTATATATATATATATATATATATATGTTATTAATTAAAATTTCTAAAAAAAAAAAAATAAATTCTTAATTTTTAATATTTGATTTTGGTACAATGTGAAAAACTTCAAATTCTTCAATTATAAATTGATCTGGACTAGATCTAATACTTTTGTCATAATTAATTTGTTTACATCCACAAGGTTGTCCAATTTCAAAATGACCTTTTGGGAATAAATCACCTTTACCAAACACTGGTGAACAATAAACATTACAATATATGGCTTCTTTTGGATTTTTAACTCTACTAACTATATCCTTATCTTCAATATTTTCAATATTTTCGTTATTTTCGTTATTTTCGCTAATTTCATTACTTTCGTTATTATCACCACCTTTTTCGCTAATTTCATTATTATCACCCTTTCCAGTTAATGAAAAAACAAAACAATCCTTAAGCATTTCAATAGTATTGGAATTTGCACATGATAACGAACGTTTACTCCAACTCAATGGATTATAGCCACCAAATAATTGTGTAGAATTTGCTGGTTTAATAATTACAACACATCTATTCTGTGAAAAAGTGTTTTGATAAAATTTTTGATCTCTACTGCCTCTAACAATCAGGTTGAAATCATATGGTATATTACGTGCATCATAAAATTCTTTGGATTTAAGATCTAACCCATCAATCCAACTTGCAATTTTTGCAGCTTGTTTAGGAGTAATAAGTACCGATGGTATTCTAGTTGTAGACTTCGTATAAGTTGGTGAAGGCACTATCGTATCATCTTTTACTTCATATAATTCATCAGGTATTATCTTTTTAAAATCATCAACTTGTTTGCTAAAATCTTCTTTTTTAATTTGGCACCAACGAATATAAGGTAATATTGGGCCCATAACCTTTTGAAATTCATCAAAGTCTTGATCATTCCATTTTTTAAGATCTGTATCAAGTTTTCTATCAAGTTTATTCAAACACCATTGAACTACATGTCTCCAGATTTCCATCTCACTCATCGACAGATCATCTCGTTGAAGCAACCAAACCAACGTATCAAATTCTAAATCAACATAATCAACTGATTTTAATAACAAATCAGGTTCCTGAAATAAAGCTTCTCCAATCATATCTGACAATAGTGCACAAGTTGGATATTTTTGACTTGCATTATAAATTAATACAGATTTTTGGTTCATCCAGATGTGTTTACGATCAATCAAAACATTTTGTAAAACATCTACTAATATATTTAGACAAAGTTCATCGGCTGCACCCAAGACATTAACAATCTCAACTTCATTCAGTTTTTCGATATTAATTTTTGCTGAATAAATATATCTATTTTATAACTTTTATTTAGATCAATAAAAAGGTAATTGTGAAGGCAATGAACAATGTTACAGAATAATAAATATCATACCTTAATACAATGTCAAATGTTAGAGGCGAAATGTTTGGTTTCTTAAATATATACATTCCGTTTTCTTGTTTTGCCCACCTGCTCGATAAGGCATTACGAAAATAGGGTGATCTCATTTTCAAAATATAATAATGAGCTTTAAACTTCTTAATATAAGGTTCTTCTCCTGCCTCAATAATAACATTATGTTCATCATCATTTTCTAATAAATTATTTAAATCTTTTGTTAACTCATCATGAAGTTGTTTGTTTACTTCTGATAGTGCCATTTTTTCGAAATTTACCGAGAAATTAACAGTTAATAACTTGCAACTTTATATAATAAATAATATTAATATTAATAAATAGGACCCTCCCTACAAACTAACTATATAGATAGGTCACTGCCGCAGCTGGGTCAAATCTTGTAAAATTTTACTATTAGGAAAATGGCAATGTTGGTGAAAATTACCAAATTTAGAAAGATTGTCTACAATAAGCCAATCGCAGTGTGGGTCAAACCAAGACAGGAAAACTCTATTGTGTGTCACCACCAAATCAAACAGTCAAACATATAAACTCAAATTGTGATTGTGTGAATCAATTTGATAGTAACATTCAACAATTTATTAATGATGCAATCAGACATACAAGCAGATAAACAGATTATTAAAATTCAAATTGGAATATGAGCATGCTCCCAGAAAATAAACTACATCTTGTAGTGTAATATGAATTGTAATGTCACCTGCAATCAAATTGACATGACACTTTCATTTATTTTTTATCCCAATTTTTTTTACACAAGCCTTTGTAATAAATAATCAAAATAATACCTTCAAACTTTCTCTTTCATGAAAAATCTATTATAATCTGTTAATTTGAAAAAGTATACTTTTATTCAAATTGATGAGTTTTTGTACAAAGAGTTTGTTTTTTGTCTAAATATTTGTTAAACCTTTTTTTTAATCTTTATAGTGAACAAAATGTCAAGACCATTAGCTAGCACATTACTTTGCTTATTTGCTGAATCTGCTGAAAGAGTCACCAGTTGAATCAATCTTGGTGACAAGCATCAGGGAAGGCAGTAATGGAATGTGCACAACTTTTTACCAAGTAGATATTAATTGTCCACAAAAGTTTACATTCTTATTAAATAATAATATTTCTTATTGAAAAAAAAACTATTTAAATTATATTAACTATTAACAATCAATAAAGATGTTTCAGGAAAATACTTAGCTAAGATGCCTATTCTTTTTAAAATACAGCATTTACTGATGCATACAACAGTATTCTCACTTTTCTTCATTTCTTGCTTGCATTGCACTAATTTACTTTCTAAATATTTCTTATCTAATTTTTAAACCATTTTCTTGTAAGTATATTTATTTAATATATTTTATTGTCTATATTTAATCATACTATAATATTTATATGGGGCTTGCTTGCAACAAAACCAGACAAGGTGAACATTAGTGTTACAAAGATTTCTGGGATAAAAGTTTAGTAATGTGATTATTAAAATCCTCCATTTCAGCTGGTAAAAATACAATTGATTGAGTTATTCTATTGTTACTTCTTCCTGGACTTGGTAATCCATGAACTCCTGCATAATTTTCTAGAAAATTCTTTACTATTTCTGCAACATTTTTATCAATCACCATCTTAGTTTTCCATTGAGATATCCTTTTAATATTAATGTGAATTCTTGGTAAAAGACCATTGTTTATTAATTGATTTCTAATGTTTTCAAAACAAGTTCTAATTCCTAACATATTGAGATAAGTTTCTTGACAAAGAAGTGTGTTGTGATCCCAATGACAGAAAGTTCTTTTATTGGATCTAACATATCTGTTGAATATGCATATTTTTTTTTTTAAGAAATACAAATAACAACGGATTCAATTTTATTTGTTTGGCTGTCATTGTGTTTCCAGCTTCACTAAATACAGTCAAACCTTGTCACAGCAGATGAATGAAGATTTATTTAAAACCCATTGTGGCAAAATTTACTGATCTTGCCACAATGGATTTTTATGTGCTTTTATATTTTAATGCAAATGTGAAGCAAAAATTTTAAAATCTGTTATGACAAGAATTTAATTATAGTCCACTGTAACAAAGTCACTCATTTGAAATAGAAGTTACTGAAATGCATAAATATTCTTTAAATAATAATGACAGTTGGTATTCATATTAATTGATATATTATTATTATAATAGAAATAATGTTGGTGATAGTGTAATAGTGGATAAAATAACATGTAGTATTAAAATTTTTATTTTATATTTCTGTACCACAGATTATTCACCAATTATCCGGATAATCGACGGATACACTAGTCACTATCACTGTGAAATGTCGTCCGACTAATGTAATAGTAATAGCTAGGGGTAAGTAAATAAGTGGGGAACAACTCTATAGATTTTGTGAATCCAAAACTATGAAATTACTATATAGTATTTATTAGTAGAAATAAATAAAACACAAAACACGTACGTACATATTGTAAAATAAATTTTATATACCACCACATGTTAAAATTTTTTTCCTTGTTACTTACAATAATGATAATAACAAATATAATTACAATGGCAATGATGACAGTAATGACAATGAGAGTGAACTTACCTCGCAGGGAATTTATTAACTGCTAAAAGATCATGTTTAGATTTAGAATTGTTTAAACGAATTTTGTTTTTTAAAAAAAATGCAAGTTGTGTTAAATGTATTCACCCACTGAATTAACTTTATAATAAATATAAACGAATTGCTTGTCATAAATTATTAGAATTACTACTCTTTTTGTAACATTTTATTAATACTAATACTAATACTAATATTGCTGAATTAAAACCGCAGATAATCTGTTCAATTTTACGGATTATCCGGATAACCCGTTTAAATCTGATGGATGTATTTTTTGAGCAATTAACGGATGACAGATTGATTTTTAGAGATAAATGACAGATGAACGGATGATGGATATCGTTGGATTGCATCTCTATTCTGAATCCACAAAACGCCTCAGTTATCAACATAGTTGGAATTCCTCCTATTCGAAAATAATCAAAGTCTTAGAATCAATCAATTCGTCGATTCATCAATTCATTAATTTTTATAGTTACTATCCAAAAAGCGCATCTAACCTGCTGAAATATATGACTTTTGATCTTACATAAGAAACTTTTGTGGCAGTTATAAAAGACGCAGACTGTATTATATTATTTTAATTGACTGAAGTTTTCCTGTTGCTTATCAACTTTTGCTTCTGAAAGATTTTTAGTTTTACAAAGATTTCTATGCATTGTCATATTAATTGCCTATATCATAATAATAACAATTATAGATATCTATGTGTATTTATATCGAATTTCAACAAGAATTATATTAGATGGTTCACATGCAGAAACGATCCTTTTTATTTTTTTTGTTGTTATGCATGAATAAATAAATATAAATTTAACCTACTCTCTTGTTCAGGTATTCACTCATTTTTTTATTATAATGATTTTTTTTTTTATTAGAAAATGTTTTGTTATTTTTTTTTTCAAACAAAGTTTATTTCATTATTAATGATAGTTTGGTTGCAACTTATTTCTCAAGAAAAGTTAAATATTTACTTATGTAACTTATAAATAATCTTTGAGAAATAATTTTCATTTCATAATTACCAAGCAACTCTTTCCCCATACGAATTAAAGATTATCACCTCTTTAATGTATTTCTTAGAGTCATGAAATTGATCCTGTTCAATTCCATCACAGTTACGTAGATCAAGTAACTTCAAGCTTCCAAATGTCTTGGCATATTCTTGTAGAACAGCAAAATGTTCATTATTTGCACGCATGAACAATTTCAATTTTTCCAATCTTGCCTTACAATGTTCAAACAAAAAATTGTGTAATGTTTTCGGTTCAAATATCAGCGTTAATTTAAGTGTAAGTTGTTTTAAACTGATAGGAATTGAACTACCCAATAAAAGTAATAAAGATTCATTAGTTGGAAAAAAAGGATCTTGACTATTATGAATGAATTCCACACTCAAATTTGCTAGCCAAGTACACCTTTGTAGCAAATTACAATATCCGGACATTGTTATGCTCGAGATTGACGTGTTTAAAGTTATTAGATTTGGACAATTTTCAGATATTGTTTCTATGAGCAGCTTATATTTAATAAAAAATTTTTTGTTTGCAAATTTGATACTTGAATGAGTCAATGCCACCAATGTCAGACATTTTAAATTTTGACCATTAATCCTTATAATTTTAATCAAGATATCTAGACGAGGAGTATAAGTTGAAAACAGCAATTCCTCTAATTTAGGAAAATATATGTCAGCCAAGTCCAGTGAATATTTATGTCCAAAAGATTTCCAATTATTAAATTTTAAAACTCTCAAGTTTTCACAATATTTCAAAACGTCTAAACTTCCATCATTATCTCTACCAACATCTTCACTATTTTTAAACTCCAAGCATTTGATTGTTTTTAAAAATCCATAGTTACTATCATTATTATCATTGTTGTTGCTGTCATTATTGTAGTAGTTCTCATTATAAACATCAGTATAAATATAAACGTCATTATTATAAGTGTCATTGTTCTCTTCTTCATCGTTACCAGAGTCTAACAAATGATTTGGCCAGCGATTGATGATGATCAATTCAATCAAACATGTTTGTGAAATCAAAAGTTTATTTGATGATGCATCATTTCCCCATGAACAATCAATAGTTAACTTGCTCAAAGTTGTGCAAAACTCTGATATTATCGGTAAATTGAATGTTATACAATCATCACATTCCAAATGTCTTAAATTTTTTAAAGATGATAATGATGGTGTTGTTATTGTTGTTGACAATGATGATGATGGTGGTGGTGATGATGTTGTTGTTGTCGTTGGAGTTGGAGTTGCTGATGGCGAATATTTTGATAAATCAATAAAATCACCATATCTATGTGTTATGACTTTTATTGATAATGTTGTCAGAGTTGTTTTTTCTAATAATAAATCAAACAATAATTCCAAGATTTTTATTTTTGGATTAAATAACAAAGAATCACCACCATCGTAAAAATATTCACCAGACTCTTTTTTACATTCTTCAAAATCATCATCTTCTTCTTGTTTAAATACACTGCGTATACGATAAAGATCACACCAAGCATGTACTGCATCATGCAATAAAGAGTAGTTTAATACTTTCAAATAATTGGTATAATTAAATATAAGTGGTGGTTTATCGATTTCTAATTTTTCCATTGGATATATTTTTTTCAAAAATGATTTATGTGAAGAACTCAAAGAATTCATATAAGTTGAAATAATTTGTGTATTTGAAGAATAAGGATTAAATGGGTCAGTCCATAAGAATGGTACTGTTAACTTACACCAAGAACGACTTACAAGCATACAAGAGTGTAATGAGTAGGGGTCATTTTTCAGGCAGGATACAATAGGCAGGATGATTTCGGGAAGTAGAAAAATTGATGAAGCCATTTTTCCTTGAAAAATTTTGTTGATCAATTCTTATTATATATAAAACACCAAAACATTAATATTAATATAAATATAATAAAATTTTTTTGTCAGTGTTTTTTTTAATCAATAATTGAACTTATTATTGTTTGTTATAATTGACAAAATGATATTAATTAACAATCGAAAATTGATTGTGAACAAATTATTTGTTTTTTTTTGTTCTTTTCTAGATTAGTGATGGCAAAGATCACGCTTTCAAAAGAGTATAATTGCTTGCCAAAATTTGATTTTTTCAAAAACAATCACGGCTACATCTATAATTTGGATATTAGTATTAATGAAGGGGAAACATTAAATTGAGAAATTAAATTATTATCAAGCCAGCTTGAACTGGTTCATGTAAAGTTTTAGGCAATTCTATATATCACTTAAGAAACAAATGTGAGATATTGATGATAACTAAATTTTGATCCCTGAAATCGTTGGTAATACCAATGTTCACCTTGTCTGGTTTTGTTATAGCATGCCCCATATTATATGTTTTTTACAAAAACACATAATGTTTTCGATCACAACCCAAGAAAAGGCAAAAAATCCTCCTGAGAAGGAATGCTTATGGGCAAGTATAGCTTTGATTATCTTATTGCCTGATCCACACAATGAAGAAATGAACATGCTTAAAGCTTTTGTGGAATTGAACTAATATGTTATAAAGAAATACTTTGATTTTTTACTTATTCCATTATCTTCTTGACCCAATTAATTTGGAGCAGAATTGTCAGCTTGCCTTAAATCTAACAAACTAAAATCTGTCGAACCAGTAGAATTTCCTCAAGAACTTCTCCTAGTAAGGTAGTCAGTCAATCATCACGACATTTTAAGTCTGGTAGATTCGTACCCAACCCTTTTCTTTTTCATGGGTGGTTTTGAATAGACTCACCTAGATTTAAACCCATTGAATCTACTTAATCAGCCACCACAAAAGTATTGGTGAAGTCGGGGGATCATTGACAACAATCTTATTACGTACCACAGAAATGGCAAATTTTTTTACCCTATGCAAAGTTTGCACACTTAAAACATACTTATTATACCACTAAAATACAATTTAAGTAGAATTTAATTAATGTTTTGAGCATGAAATAAATATGTTTTAAACATATTTCAAGTGTAATTTAAGCACATTTTGACTATCATGGGGAGACACTCGTTTCTTGCAAATTTAAGTAGAACATAAGCATGATTTTCTACATATTTTCCATTTATTTTCTACTTATCTTATTTATTTCATACTTGAACTGTACTTAAATTACACTTAAACTACACTTGATTTATTCTTAAAATTAATATATAGAAAATGGTAATGATAATAATAATAATAATAATAATAAAGTAATAACTAATTTTTTTTCTTTAATTGTTGCGTGAAACTTACTGCATTATGCTTCGATGATCATGTGTAACTAATAGTAAATCCCATTTGAAAGAAAAGAAATATTAATACAATGTTATATATTTAATAAGAATTATTATTAATAATATATTGTTACTTACCACGCATAACAATAACCATAATGTTAAGTAGTCCTCTGAACATTTCCAATCTAATTTTAAAGATAATTGATCAGAAGGATTATTTGTTTTAATAAAAATAATTACCGATTTTGTGATATTTATGTTTTTATCTCTTCTTGGAGACAAGTCTACTTCCATTCTGCCTTTCCCGTTATATCTTGATGGTCTTTTTAATTATTATCAAAGTTTAAGAAAAGCATTTTTCCAAAAAAAAAAAAAATAATCCTTAAATAATAATAACATCCTACATTATCAGCTTATTATTGTCTCTATTATTAAGATTATCATTGCCTACATTAACATTAACATTAACATTAACATTAACATTAACATTAAAATTATCATCGTCATCATCATTGGTATCTTCTTCCTCCTCCTTCTGCTTCATAATTAGCTTCATCAACACGTGAATTAGCCTATTACGTATTAACTTTCCTAGTAATTACAAATCTTACAATTTCTTCTACCCTTGCATCCTTTACAGTAACCTTTTCGCTTCGCATGTTAAACGAAATAATGAGTCTAGAGCTCGAAGTATGTCTAATATATATATATAAAAAAGTTTAAATTTAAAAAATAATCAACATCATTCATTAATTAATTTAAAAAAATCAAACCAAATTTTTTACCCTAGTAACTGATAGTAATGGCTTTGGTTTCATTTTTCAATAAAAAGAGTTAATATGCATTTATCATTTGCCTCTTATATTAATAAAGTAGGTAAAAATCGGCTGTTTTACTAAAAAATTTTTTGGGGATGTTGAATTGAAGATATTTTTTCTTGATTTGTATTTTTGGGAGTAATTTTCGGAATTAATCACATCAAAAATTAATTGATGGAAAGAAAAAACTTGATCAATTAATTAATAATAATAACACAGGTTATTCATTAATCTTGCACTAGAACTAAGGTATCAAGAAAATGACATCATGCTGAACTTTCTGCACCATAATTACAATAGAGAGTTAATAAACCATTCAGACAAATCATGTGATAAAACAAAAAGTGTTAGTAATGTTGATGAATGATAATGATGGATTTGTTGACTTGAATATATTGCAAAATTTATGCAACCGAGTTAACATATTAAACAATGAATTAAGCCAGAACTGGGTATATTGAAAAACAACAGTAATCATTGAACACTAACCGTTAATATTAATAATTAAAAACGAAAGTGTGAAATAGGTTTAGCCAAGAGGATATGAAAAGTGTGTTATTTGTTTGGGTACATTAAAGTTAATGTCAATTTGGCATTAATTCTTCTTTTTATGTAATAGTAATGGTTGAATAACGTGTGAATTGAATATCAATGAACAATTGTTGTTACGTCACCATTGTATGGTTTTTTATGTAATGGTGATAATATCAAATTTATTTTAGATCAATATTCCCTATAAAAATACCAGTATCTTTTTCTTTATACGATTAAAAAATTAAAAATTAAAATTCCCATAAAAAAAAATTTTTTTTTTTGGAATCTTTATAGTCCTTTCTTCTCACCACTAGCACTAATAATAATAATGACAAAAAATGAAAGGTG